CTGTGCTGTGTCCTAGCCCATTGAGCCACCAGAGGACTCCAGGAGGATTTCTGTAACCCTTAAGTGCCAACCCCGGGAGCCTGCTCATGGCCCTGCAGGGCCACTGTGCAGCCAGGTGTCGTCGCACAGCCCACTGTAACGTATCCGTGTGTGTGAGTGTCCTATTCCATGTGAACTTTGTTTGTATAAAACTGGCCCAAGCCTAGTGCCTGGCCAGGGGTTATTGTTCCATTATAATTGTCAGGTGAATGAATAAGGCTTCTGACACCCATTTTCTTTAGTTTTTGTCATCTCTGCCATAAAGGACGCCTCAATTTGTATTTGTGTAAAATTAAGTATTTTACACAGCTTGTATTAACTTGGGCTTCCTGTGATTTTTCTAAAAATGTATTTTAAGAACAAAATAAATATAATAGTGGAAAAACCATGATGTTTTTGGGGTCTAAAAACATGTAAAGCACGTGAGGGTTTTTTGTTTACATAATGCCATTTATTGGTTTCACTGGTGTTTTTGTGATAATGCCAATTCTGTTCCTGTTATAAAGCCAATCTCAGTATCATCTGCTAAAACTCAGGGCTCTGTCTTCACTTTCTCGGATATAAACCTCAACTAATAGAGAATGAAACACATCAACCAAAATATTAATGTGTCTGTATGCTGTTCTGTTCAATACTCTTTATTCCCACTTAAGATTCCTGGATGAATTAGCCTGTAGTGGCCACATTCTGTGTGTTTTTAAAGCCAGTGTTAGATAACGAACCTGTATGAGTGGTAGTTTTTTTTTCTTATAATTCAAATTCTCTCTGAGTTATTGTTAGCAAATCTACCATGAAATAAATTGCAGTGATCTTCTAGGTCTTTGTGAAAATGTGCTTTCTTTCCACTCAGAGTAAAAGAAGCTGAAGAGGTATGTAGGCAGAAGAAGGGAAAATCACTTTATAAAATAAAACCAAGGCATGACTCTGGAATTGTAAGTATTTAGCTTTTCTGATTTTTAACTTATGGCTTATCTTTGACTTTCAAACACTGTTTTCACAATATGCACAAACTCCAATTTTTTTGTGTGCTTTCTATTAAGGTTGCATAAATAATAAACCTTTGACTGAACGAATCTCCTCTTCCTCTTGCCATTTGTCAGGTGCAGAGGACTGAGAAAACCTCAGTATTTAGCATTTGAAGCTAACGAGTAAAATTAACATTAAATAAATAAATAAATACATTGATGATAAAGCTGCTGAGAGAGTAAGGGGCTCGGGGGCATAAACTTTCCATTTATTCATTAGACACAGTCTCAGCCGCAGCACAGAGCTGATTTAGACCCAGAGTGGTTGTTACAGTATGAGCCACATCATTGGGATCTAACGCATGGTGGGAAATGCCTGTATGTTGATGTTCTTTGCTCAGGCCAGAAAACTGGTTTCTACCCTTAAATGGCTCTGCGAAGTTGGCTGCTTATCCACTCAGTCAGTAGGCTGAATTTTACAAGCAAATCTAAAGGTTCTTTCTGGTCTTCTTTTTTCTCTAAAATAAAATGGCCAAAATAAGTAAAGACATAAATAAGATAAAATGGCCAGTTATATACCATGGCGAGAAAGGACATGGTAAAAACATGGTGAGTCTTCTCTTGAAGTGCTATTAATATTTTGCTGAATGTTTTGAAAGGTTGTTATTTGATACCACAAAGTAAGTCAATTATGTGTTTTATTTTTAAAAAATTTATTTGTGCATACAAGAATTGGGGTGCAGGCCAGAGGTGTGGCAGGGTGAAGGGTTCACCAGAGACAGAGTGGGGAGCAGAACAGGCAGATCTAATGAAATCCGCTGAGGGGAACACTGCCTAGGAGTGGGCTGCTGTGCTATATGGGCTGGCTCCTTGGTCAAACTCATGGTTCCTGGGCAGGTGTTAGCTTTATAGGTCTGTGTCTTTAGCCCTGCGTGACCAGGGTTACCCAGTTATACCGTCTTAAGCAGGTGCATTTTGAATTAGATTAGTTGAATATAATCTAAACGGAATAGATATTAAAATGATCCAAATTGGCATATGATTAAATAACCCTATTTAGTAAAATGTTGAAATTATATCTTCAATTCAAGGCATTTTCCCTTCCATTTCCAAGTACAAAATTATTCTTCTCTAATGACAAGTGTAGTACAGTTTATTATATTTATGCCTCTTTGTGCAAGCATAAAAGTTAGAGTGAAGAGCTACGATTTTTTATTAGTTAATATCAGTCATGTTGTTGTAAGGGTAGAAAATTAAATCACCTTAAACATGAAGTGAAACAGATGTTTTCATGCTCACATTTTTATGTCCGTGTTGAGAAAGAGAATGATAAGTTGGAATTCCTTCACATCAATAAGAAGCTTAAATTTTAAAACTTTTTACCAAAAATATTTGATGACTTGTTGATAAAAATTTTAAGAGATAAAAAATAGATTCTGTTCGTTGTTTTTCCTGTTTACCTTGCCCCAGAAAACTTGATTAAGTGAAAAGATATTATTTGGCCTGTTCTAAACTCTACACATCCTTTAAAGATTGTTCTAACTATATTTCTTATCTGGTACATTTATTTCCAGAAAGCAAAGATAAGCATGAAAACCTGAACAATGTGAGCAGAATAACAATGAGTCATTGCAATCATCTCCACACAATTCAGCTGACCTGAGGGCGGGAAGGAAACAACATCATTTGACAATATTTCTTCTTGACCTCTTGCATAATCTTTGCGTTTTCTAATCAGTTCTTGATTGTTAAATTTTACTGTGCATTCATGTAATAATATAAAAGCAGTATACCAGTTGACAGCTTTTCTTTTTGTAAAAGTTTATGGTGTTATACTGATAGACCAAAACAGCATGTTCAGAGGCAGCATCTGCATTCTTTCTGAACATGCTCAGCATTAACCTAAAATTTACTTTTGTGACAATATTCCTGATCACAACAAAATGCTTTCTACTGATGACCTACGCTCCGTGTCACTGAATGAGGGGTAAAATGTTTCTAGTGTATTGTTTGTATCAGCTCATGTCTACACACACATTTTCTATTTTAAAATTTGACGATCATTTATATGTCATAATCAAGGCTTTCCTGACTCTTGGATTGCTCTTTAGGCTATCTATTTGTGAAAGAAGATTGTCTTTCTTTTTATTCAAGTCAGATGATGAGTAACAAAATATAGCAAAAGCAGAAAGAATCTTTCCCTATGAGTCATTTACTATAGGCAGAGATTAGAATTTTAATTTTTAAGTGTAATCAGAACTTTTGTCATTGTGTCCTTTGAGACTCTACAAAAAAAGGTAAACTGCAGCTAAGGTAAATCAAACAAAGTGTTCCTGTCGGTAACTGTTAGCATTACCTCCACAAAGAAAGCATGACTCAATATTTTGAAGGAATTTAAATCAATGATGCTCATAAAATTACCAAACATGACTAAAAGTTGGCCAAACAATAAGTTTTTTGCATGGATTGGCATCTACCTAGAAAACGTAATTAAACATACCTGCCTGGGTATTTTGAGATGATTTGGGCTGTATTAATGTGTCATTGCAGGTGATTACAAGCTGTAAAATGAGTATGTAATGATTCATTATCTAGAGGAGCCTAGGAAAGAATTTTATTTTATTAAAGGGTGCAAAGTAAATCTCCACTGATTCCTTAGAGCTCAGCTCATGATACGTATGATACTCATGGTTTTGTGAAACATTAAGAGGTTTTTAAAAAAATTCTTTTATGATATTTGTTGGGGGTTATGTTTATGGATAAAGTGGAGAACTTATTGCAAACCAGTTATGGAAAGCAAGTCAAAAAGAAAAACAATGTTCTGAATTATAACTTTGTTTAGATTATATAAAATATGGTCTCTTGACATTTAGTTTGTAGTTTAAGGGCAAAGAAGCAGTTGTGGGTTTTTTGTTGTTTTCTAGTCTTCCTGTCCCTTTCCACTCCCTCCAATGTGTATATTGCCATTATTCAATGAAATAATAGGGCATTTAACAAAGATTGCTATGTGCAATACTGTATTTAGTGTTTCTATTTCAATTTTTCTAGGATGTTAATTTATATTAAAATAAAATGAATAATAAAATAATTCAAGAAGTGCCTCTTATGTGCATAAGCCCAGCATCCCATTGGACATTAGAGGAAGAAATTAATTAGCTGCACTTGAAAATTTTTGAAAGTTGTTATTTCAGACTTAACAGATATTAATAGTTAAGTATTTGATGAATATTTCCTTTTAGAGATAAATAATTACTACTTCAAATCACTTACAAAAGGGTTGAAATTTTTCTTATGCAATTTTACAGAACAGGAATTTCCCATTCATGAATATCAATATATTAATATTTTAATATTTTTTTATAAAAACCACAGATTAAGAAGGACAGATAACAAAGTATTTCAAATAACTTAATAGCAAGTTTCAGGGAGAAGTTTAAAGAAAAAAAGGTTGATTCAGGATGGAAGGGCAATCTGACTGCGACTTCTGTCACCCCACTGGCCCCAGGGTCGATTCAACTGAAAGGGCCTCTGGCGGGTAACGCCTTCCTCAAGGCTCCATGTGCCTCCTTCCCAATGCCGTGAGCTCCACTGAAGAAGACAGCCTTCCCTGTAGAGATGGACCATTCTTAGGTCAAGTGTGAGTACCTGCACTCCCCTGCTAGAACATTCAAGCAAACTCTCACAAAAGTTGACTCGTTGCAATGTCCAATTCAGAGAATACTAAACACTAAGTCTAGGGGAAATAAAAGGAGTTCAGTTATTGAAGGAAGAAAAGAGACATCTTCAAATGGGAATGTAGTGCTCAAATGCACGATGGAAACATCATTTCTCTTATTAGTTGCAGATTAGATGGAGGGAATGAAACATAAAGGAGAAATAATATCAAAGTTGTCAGAGTTTTAGGGAGGAACTCTGAGTCAGTGGGAGAAACTTCTGTCAAGAGTAGCTAAGTCATAAATGCTTTTGTTACTCATGGCAGCTCTGTGCCAGCAACATTGACATTGACTGGGAGTTTGTCTAAAATGCAATCTTGGATAGTGAGTGGTAGGGAGACATTGAATTGAGGGGAAAAGCATGGGAAACAGATGCAAAATAGTCTGTCACCTCTCATGAAGTTCTGTACAGAATATGGAGTAAATAGTGGGAAGGAGAAATAGCAGGAGATGATGCTAGATCTTGGAAGTCTCTTCAAGAAACAGCATGGAATTATTTTTAACCAATATATCATTTTAAAGAGATAACATGACCTCGTCTATACCTACCAGTGTGATAGATACAGTAGAGGTAAATAAATTTGGAGACCAGGTCTTTAAAGAGATTTTGCATTTAAGAAATAGAACTTAAGATACTACTAGTAGAGATAAAAACTTGAATGTGATGGGAAGACATTTAAGTTAAGGAGGTTAAGTTAAGAGAACTTCTTGAATGTTTAGGTGTCAGAAAAAATAAGCAGATTGAATGTAAGAAAACAGTATGGTTTTTTGACTAGATTATTTGATGAAAGTGGCTCCACGCACCGGAAGAGGGAAAACGGGAAATTCTTCAGTGAAGTTTCTTCAGCAGTCAGTGCTACAGAAAACCCTTGCTGGTAAGCTTCTCAAATGGAGAACCACAAGTCTTTATTCTGTTAGTCAACTTCATTTCTTCAGAGCACTGGTCACTAGTATTAGTTACATGGTTCTTAGTATATAGTCTGTCACCCACTCAAATTTAACTACACAAGAATTTTTTTCTACCAACACTAACTCTATAGCATTCATTGTAGCACATGATCGTCAGTGTATTTGCTTTAGCGAAAAAAAAAATAAATGAGAGAAGGGAAAAGTTCATGAATAACAAAGAATGAAGAACTCATAAATGTGTGTGGGAAAATCAGTTGAAGATTTCTAGTAGGCAGAAAATATTAAGCAGGAATTCCCAAGAGAGGTTTAGTTCTGGAAATTTTGTAAAAGCTACCTTCAATAAGGTGGTAGTTGAAATCAAGTAGATTGTTAAAAGTGCTTATGGAAGTAGGAATTTTTAAAAAGAAAGAATATTAACTTTATTTATTTTGGCTAGAACAAATACAAATATATCATGAAAAAAAACCTCAGAAAGATTAACCAGGGAATTAAAAGCTGAGAACCTCACAGAAATAGTGTTTTTATTTAATAACTTTTATTTAATAAATACTTTTATTTAATAAGTAATGTTTATTTATTTTTTTTAAAAAACATTGTTTTTTTCTAATGTGATGAGAAAAATATGATCTCACCCAAAGTTGACCTAAAGGACATCACTTAAGGAGCTTCTTTCATTGTAGTCATTTTGTTCAATATTTCAGTTTCCAATAACTTATTGGTGAGCAGGAGAACTGTATTGCAGAAGTCAAAGTAAAGAGTACTTGCAAAAGAAAGTCTACGCTGATATCATCTTACTGTCCGTCAAGCATGCTACTATTGCACATATAATGAAATACAGGTAACACATTGACTTACTATTCTATTTAAAACTTGCTTGAGAGAAGTCGTGTAGAAATGGTGTTTAAAATATTAGTTCTGAAGTTCCACTCCTGGTGTTGCTGGCTGAGCTTCTAAGAGACTAACCCTCCAATAGGTTAACTCTGAATAAGATATAAAATTAAGCACTGGGAGTCTCTAGAGAGTAAATAGAGTTGGCAGGTTCTTTTTGGACATAAGACTGGGACAAATCCTTTAATTTCCTAAAAAGAGACCTTGTTAGTAAAAAACTATATGCTATGAAAATATAATTAAAGAATGAGGGTGAAATAGATTCTTGCATACATAAGAGAATTATGAATATTTGTCAGCATCGGATAGCACCAAAGGAAATTTGAATTATCAGGAAGAAATAACAAACTTTGGACATGGTAATACCTAATAGAATGTGAAAGACTAATTCCTTTGTTTCTAATTTATTTCAAACATTGTTGAAAGCCAAAGTGGGGGGGAGGAACCTCTAACATATCCTCTTGCTGGGTGTTACTAAATTGATCTTTCCCTATGTGATACTGTTTTAATTACTTATCCAGACTGAGAAGAGCTCGGAAGTGTGAGAATTTTCCCTTGTGCCCTAATAGCAACAATAACAGGCAAAAGATTGATCTGCAGAATCAAAAAGTCCCATGTATACAAAAGTCCCATTTGTAAAACAAATTTGGAAAGGTCCCCAGTAAAATAGCAACAAAAATGTTAAACAGTATGGAATAAATTTAATAAGAAATGTGTGATGTTGATATAAAAAAATGAAAGGCGCACACCCACAAGATGAAAGTTTTATGTTTGAAAATGTCAGTACTCCCTAAATGAATATATACATTTAATGCAATATACTTTGCAGCAATACTTTGTGTTTGGACATGTGTGTGGGGGTGAGCTACATGCAAGCTCACACATAAAATTAACCATGAAAGTCCTGAAGAGGATAAAAAGTGAAATAGAAAGAGCTGAGTGAACTAGATATTAACCATATTAGAAAGTGACCATAAGTAATTGTAATGACAGATTTTGGAAATTTTTAAAATAAAATGACATCCATTTTATGCATTGATAGATAAAATTTTAAGAGGAAAATTAAGAAACAGAACTGTGTAAATGCACTCTTTTTTATGTAAAAACGGGAGCAATGTGATTACTGAACCCAGAAATTAGTGGGCATAGACTATCTCTGGAAGTGTTCACAAGAAACTACTGTTTTTTTTTTTCTGGAAAAGTGCAAATGATGGCTATGGAATAGGTCAGAGAGGTTGGTTTTTCATTGTCATTTCCTTTGGCTCCTCTGGATTTTGTGCATTGTGAAGGATAAGTAAATACAGAAATATTTAATAATTCACTTATTTGAATGTATCTCATTTTTAAAGAGCAGCTGGCACTTACATGGTCTTTCTGTTAACTCTAGGAAACAATGTGTTTTGGGAGGCTTATGCTGCTTCCACCTTACTGTAGCTACACAATCAGACATAGCTCCTGAAGGCCAGGAAAAGTCTCGCGCTAGGCCATGTGGAGATGTGTCAGGGTGGGAATTCAGCAATATTTGTCCATTGCAGGAATGGGAAAAAAAAGTCAGGGTGGTTATTTGGTCACTGGCTTCATTTTGTCCTACAGAGGTCTGATTTTTGAAGTCACACTTGTCTTTTTATTTCGTCATAGGCCATTTTGGTAGTTCTTATGCGAAACCCCTTTTGCCTTAAGTCAAAGTTGCTTCATATTACCCTCATTGATTTTTATGTAAATGTTTCTAAGTTATGCTTTAATTCTAACATAGATTGTACAGTTTTCCAGAGACTGACATCACTTGCTAATCCATGCAACAGATGTGAGGACCAACTCACATCTCCCAAGGAAACTGACAATGTGATTTTTCCTTTGGTGTTTACATTTCAGAGTCAGAAACAGGCAATACACTTAAACCATGTTAATTGTGGTGTTTACAATCTGGTCTTAATTGGTTATTGCCTGTGTGTACATTATTATCAGCAGTGACAGACCAATCATCAAACAAGTTTTCTAGAAATACAGATATATATTAGAGTGTACTCATTAACAACATTTTTATGACTTAAACACAAATCAGTGAACTTCAGGAATACGTGAATTGGAATAGTTTAGTCTCCTTCAGTGACTCCTCATTTAATGTTTTCTATAGGTTCTTGAAAGCAGATTTTAATGAAAGCAGGTTCTCCTTGTTTTATTTAATTAATTAAATTATTTAATGTTGCTTTGTTATAAAATTGATGAGAAAAAAATCTGCTAAATTTGAACAAAATGACGTTATGTAAGGAACTGTTACATTCTGTCTCACTTAATAAATTAAGATGAATTATTTATTATTGTGTATACTTTAATTCCTTTGAATTCCATGTAGTAAATCAAGCATGCCATTTTTTTAAAATTTGTAATTGGTCATTGACTATATTTAATGGTGTATATGTCAATTAGTAGAAAAATGGACATACTATGAAACTGTTTGAGGTCTGATAACTGGTTAATTATGGATTGTAATCCCTGAAAGTGAATGTGAAAACAGACAAAACTTAGACAAATAGACAAATTCTGGTTTGTTGAAAGTTGTGTGGAGCATCGATTGCAAGAGGGGAGGTAGTTTATAATGAACTACTTGTAGCAGCTTCAAGGCTTTCTTGTTTGATATTTCTTATTCTGAGAGCATAGTGAGTCAGGGGTCTGGAATTCTGCCTTCAGCGACTGAGGTTTCTGTAAGAGTTGGAAGTCCCCAACACCAGGTGTGGGTCTGCTTTACTCAAACGGCCTGCTTGGCCACCATGTTGGTAGCGTGCAGTTCTGCATTCCAGTAGAAGGTCAGAACAGTCTGGTCAGTCAGTTATCTGACCTAAAAATGTAGTATACCACACCCGACAATTCTTCTTTCAATTTGAAGACGAGCAGGACACTTGATCATCCTGGGAAAACTTGATCGTCCTGGGGTAACGGGGACAGTCAGGGGCCCGTTGGCTGATGTATATAACTTGCATCTCAGAGACTGCACAGTGGGATACTTTGGTGCTAGACTGGAGCCGTGGGTGGGAGTCTGGGTTATGGTTTCCAGTACAATACCAGACTCACCACCCCTGAAGCCCCACATGACATTAGCACATACTCAGTTTTCATCCTCTCTGCCTCCTTGATCTCCTACCCTGAGTAACTGATGCTGTCTGATTATTCCATCAGGAGAAAGCCAGGCTCTTGGTTTTTTGGCAACACACCCCATGACGCCCATTTTTCAGTGTGGTGCTGTTAACACAATAGCCAGGATTGAAAACAACCCTAAATACCTCCACAACCTGGATGCCTGACTCTGATTGTCTTCAAAGATACCAGGGACCCAAAGGAGATCATGTGACACAGGTTAGGTGTTGAACTCAACAAAAAGACCTAAAACAAGTTCAGAACTCCAGTTTTATGAGACACCATACCAAGATTGCCTGTAATCCTGGAGTATATTTATTTACTCTATAATTTAAATGTTTACCGATAAAATAATTACATTATACTTATAGCTTATTTTCATTTATAAACAACAAATTTTAAATATAATTTCAGCCACTATAGGTAACTTTTGTACACATAACCCCCGAAGGGGTTTTACATTGCAGCATATCATACTGTTTTCGTCGCTACACTGACGACTGAGTTCAACTGGTCGTGTCTGTGTTCTGCGAGTTTACAGTTTAGTCCTTCCCATATCTGCAGGAGATCTGTGTCAATGAAATGACAGGAACTTACTTCGCAGTCCCGGACACTCCAGCTGCCACGGCAGCCACATGGACCTCCTTCATTCACAGCTTTTCTGCTGCCCTTTCTGCCCATCACATGAGGTTTTCCACAGAATGCAAAATTCATTTTGGCAGTTGGACACTTTCTCCACTCTTTGTCTGCATTCCCAGGTTTCAAGCCTCCAGAATTTCCACGGAATTCTGCCTCCTGATTTATGGCTGTAGATAGACATTTCTGAATCCAAGAATGGTTTTAAGACAGCACATTGGCTCAGATCTCAGGGTGTTGCAGAAACGACAGAAACGAGCCAGCTGTGGAGCAAGTGATGTCAGCGCCACTCTCCATACGGTGCCAAAATCCTTGCTCCCTGGCGAAGGTCTCCAGAGCCCCACCACTACCTAATGTCAGAAACCTTAATTCCAGAGAAGTTTGCAGAGGGTCAGTCTTTCAGAGTCCCAGGAACCGAACTTTCGGGGACTCCATGGTAGGGACACTCGAGACTTGGGAGTTACCCTTCGGCACAAGGCTTTCCACTGGTCTCTCATTCACCGTGATCAGAGTCCAGAAACATTCTTCACAGGGAAGACTGTGGGGCAATTTGCTAAAATTAACTATAATTTTTGCAGGAAAGTAAATTATTTGAGTTTCCTGATGTCAAATGACCACAACATGAAAACCTCCATAATTTATTATAAAAAAAAAAGGCAGCCTATTGTTTTTCATCCTCTTAAAATTCCTTTCTTTCAAAAGGAAGGTAGGTGCTTTCTGTAACAGTTCAACGAGATTTCTATCCTATACATTTTATCCTTTACTCCCTCCTGTTCCACAGAATGGACTGACTCCTTATATTTTTAAATATTTATTTCTTTTAACAGGATTTCTTTTTTTTGAATGTAATGATAGTGAAATAGTATAACTTCTCACTCCACATATGTACATTAAACATAACAGGGGCTTTTAGTTTCAGGTTAACAACTTCTCTGCACCGGTCCATCCTAACCCAGTTTCTACTTTGTGCTACAATGCTTTACCACCTTCAAGTGAAATGCTATTCAGTGAAAAGTCCTCACTCCCAACCCAATCTAAGAATAGGTGTGTGCCAGTGAACTGCTGATGAGGCGTTATTCTGAAGGAACGACCTGGGCACGTCATTACTTGCTGCTGCAAAGTCAGAGCCAGAGACAATGGAGACAACACATGGATGGGTCATGATGGGTTTGAACAGCTCTGTATGATACAGGCCAGTCATAAGACTACCACTAATATAAAGATGTGTGTGTGTGTGAGATACTTTTCTAATTTCAGTGGATTATAGCTTGCACACCGAAGTTCACCTTCAGGTCACAGAGATGGGTGGTGGCTGGGGGTGGGAAGAGCGTGGCCTGCTCCATGCAAGGATTCCAGGAAAGCCCACTGGCCATCCAAGTCATTCAAACGTCTCCTTCGTGTGTCAGGAGACCCTCCCTGTCCTTCAAAGCCTCCCTTACATATGTCGGGTCTAAGTCAACATCGCAGCAGCCCAACGTGAAGCCTGACTGGAGCGACCAGAGTGAACACTGTCGGCCAGAGACCAGTAGGGAAGACGGGAGCGAAATCCACGCGGCCTTCGTGTCCTGGGGAGTTGCTGGGCCGGAGCCAATTCCAGGGCGATGGTCGCTTTTCCACATGGTGGAAACTGCATGCCCGCTGGACAGTGAAGGATCCCTCAGACGGCTGCGTGGTGGCCGATGGTTTTCCAGCATCTTCCTTCTGGTGTGAGACACAGCCCCGTTGAGGGACCCCGGTGAGGCCCAGGGCCAGCCGGGAAGCGTCCTCAGAGCCCGGCTCTGTGCTGCATGTTTGCGACAAGCGACATCCTCAGCCCCCAGGGGTGTTCTTGCTGCGGGCGGGGCAGCATGTGAGTGAGCTGGGGGGACAGGGGCCGGGCAGCGGCAGGCGGGCCGCGGCCAGGGCCAGCTGCGTGGGGGCCTGCGCTCTGTCCCCGAGCTCGGCCAGCTCACTGCCTGTCAGTGTTGCTCAGGTTCACTGACATGCACCGGCACTGCTTCACCTTCTGCACTTTCTTGAGGAGAAACGGTGGGTCCAGCCCAGGGCATTCGAGCTCCACGAAGACGGAGGCGAAGCGCTGCGGTTTGCAGAAGGCGCAGGACTGGAAGGACCCCCCCTCCTCCTTCACGTGCCGGGGGATGTAGAAGGAGTTGCACTGGCCGTAGCAGAAGCGGTTGAGGATGGTGCGGCTGCGGCAGCCCTCCTCGCTCACCGTCTGCCTCAGGGGCTGCGTCTTGCACCAGTCACTCCGGAGGTACTTGCGTTCGGTGACCACCAGGGCCTCCTGACTGGACGCCAGCACCTCCTTCACCTGACGCTGCCATTTCTCTGAGTGGTTGCTGCTGCCGTCCTTGTACGGGGAGGGGATGGCCCCGGCCGGCCGGGGCTGCCGGGCTTCTGGCACCTTCGCCAGCGCCGTCACCAGGAGCAAAGACAGAGAAAGCTTCCAGAACATTCTGCAACGAGAAGAGAGGTACAAGGGTTGGTTGCAACGGGTGATGGTTGGGCACGTGGCTCCCGTCAATTGCTCTCTGTGGGAGGAGGAGGGGGGCTTCCGTCAGTCGGGACGAAGCTCATGGACGCTGGTGTCTGCTGCTGGATGCAGCAGGGAAATGCGATCTTAGGCTTACCGATGCAAAATGCTATCCGAAATATTGCCCCGTGGTAAGCGGATGCACAAAATATTAATTTATAATGCATCTATAAGCATACACTTGGAGCGATTTCAGATTTACAAAGCGGAGGATGTCACAAACAAGCCCACGTCGGTTTGAAGTGCGTCTCGGTGTTTGCCTAGTGCTAACAGCTCTATATGTCTGTGTATACATAGATCTCCTTTGGGCCTCAGAAAACCCTTCAGTCGGAGGTGGTATCATTATCTCTGCTTGGCAATAAAGGAAACCGCAGGGCACAGTGTTTTTTGTTTTGTTTTTAATAATATAATAGTTTATTTTTACATCTTTTGGTGCATTTTCCCATCTCAGTTGTAATCCCCATGGGCTTCACATTATCAAATAGGACACAGAGTTTTAATAAATCCAAGTTTGCTCAACAATTAAGGAATGATTCAGGATTTGTTGAGGTAAATTTGGTTTACAACATTGTATATGTGTTAGAGGTGAAGGTTCACACCCTACAGACATATACTGTCTGTAGCCCACACTCACCACCAAAGCACTCATAAAGCTCTGATAAATTCCATTTACCCCACACTTTTTGCTTCCTCCATCACAACTCAGTTCTGAAGTCAGATTTCAAATATTTGTTTTTGTGTTTCTTTCCTTTGTTTATGAAAGTTACTTCTGAGTGAAATAAATCATTTCTGTATTTTTATTTCTCCTGATTTATTGGATTATCTGAACAGTCTTGACAAAAGAAATACATCATGACTTTCCCATCAAACTTGCAATTAAAAGCATGAGAAAAACATGCAAACAACAATGATCATTATATGGGAATAATAGTATGTGTGTGCAACTTAGTAACTCTGGAATCAATAACATTGGAATCATTTGGGAAGCTTTAGAATATAGATTCCTGAACGCCACTTCAATAGCATTCTGAATCAGAATCCGAGGTCTGGATTGAGAATGTTGTTTCAGATGATTTCCATGGATACCAGATGTGCTAGGGTATAGGGAAGGAGCAAAGAGACGACATTTGTTCTTCCTAAAGAAGGAACAGGAGAAACCTAGGAAGTAACATTTCAGTAAATCTCTTAAAATTCAAGTAGTATTAACTCAGAGTCAGATAATATCTGAGGAGGTTCCTTGTATTGCTCTTGAGAAGATGCTCTAATAGTTCATCAGAAGGACAATTGTACCCAGAGAGTTCCATGGCTAATGGAAAAGTTGGGACACTTGTGGACATCGAAGACCACTACATATTTCATCAGAAGGAAAACAGAAGCTAAACAGAAGCAATTCATGCTTCATTGAATTTGAGGTGGGTGGAGAGAAAGGCATGGAAGTTGCTGTCCATGGTGGGAATCAAGGTTGCCACTGACCCAGGAGCTGTGAGTATGAGAGTGCTAAACAGTGTGGAGGCACACATGCTTCACTGAAGGTAGGCACTGTGGAGAAGCTGGGGTCTGTTTAAGGTGAAGCTTCTCCCAAAGAAGAGGGAAAAAAGTGTATTAGAACGAGTCACCCTTTGTGACTAACCCTGATATGATAAAGTGTACAAGGTGAGCAGACAGAAAAGCCTGCTGAACATGGAGGAGTATTGGGAGTATCTCTCACATAAGTCAGTTCTACCCCTCCAACCACTTGCAATAGAGATTGAGTCACTCGGTGACTCAAAAACTGCAACAACACATTTCAGTTCCGACAGAAGTTGAAAAAGACAAAAGCTAAGTCAGATAGAACCACAGTGCCGCTTACTGGAATAGTGGAAGGAGTTCAAATCTCTAAGTTATATAGAAACTTAAAAAATAGGGAAATTAGAAGCAGGAAGATCGGTAGACCTCCACATGGCAACTTGAAGCCCCCAAAGGAATATGACCTCACAAGGAGAGAGCAGCTTTCCAGAGTCAAACCACATCTGAGATACAGTAGAACTTATCTGATGGTCATAGAATATTCACTGTTTCCAAGTAAAATTAAAGACATGGAAGGAAATGCAGAAAAGCAAGTCAAAACGATATAGAGAAATCAGAAAAACTAACAAAAGAGATACAACAAAATTTAGAAAAAAAATTAATGAATGGAAACTCTAATGGTCAGAAAATAAAAATGGAAGCTTTAGATAAGAAATTCAGCATGAAAGTGAACCATGGATAGGATAAACAGCTCTAGAGAAAACCCTGAGCGCAGAATAGAACAAAAGGAGACTAGAAACATATGCAAGGACCAGGTCGGAGAAAAGGGAGAAATACAGTGAAAAACATATGAATAAATGCTTCAAGAACTCTTTAATTCTCAAATAAAAAGAAATATAAACTGATGGACAGAATGAGACTAATTCCATCAACTAACCAAGTTATGTCACTGTTTACACCTGTTTTACCTCAGGAAGGCTTGAACAGGCACTACCTGGCAGGGGAGGGAGATGATGTTTGTGGCAAGATTCTGAACTAGCAGGCTTCCAGTTCTCAGAGAGCAGCGATTGCTCAGCGTACATTCAAACAAACAAATTGCCTGTACAAACACCTGGAACAAAAAAAGTCCTGTCATTCAGTTCGTCAACACTTTTTGTTTGCTAATTCAAGGTTGTTTCATGTGTTTTTATGTTAAGAATGCTAACAGCAAATAATAAAGTGATAAAAATGTGTACCCTTTCTATTTCTCTGAAATTTATGAAAAATGGATTATTTTATTCCATCTTTTGGTCTCTTTTTCTGATTTTTCTTTCTCTGAGATCTTACTGGTTGTTTTTCTCCAAGGACTTTGCCAAAACTCTGTTTTCTCACTCCTTAGATTCTTGCTAAGAATTTCCTTTGTGCTTATGACTTCTCTGCTCATGACTTCCAGATATTATACCCAACTGCCCCCCAAACTTTCTTTAAATGTCCTGTGGGCATCCCAAATTCCATATGTTCTAAATCCCATAATATTATTTTCAATTGTTTTCTTCTGACAGTTCCTGTCATTATGAGTAGCACAAAATGTATCTTTTCATCCAAGCCAGAGAGTGAGAACTATGGTAGAGATTATTAATTTAATATCTTGGAATCAATGTCCCCATTTTCCCTTGCTAACAGAAGCACACTTCTGTTTCTGTATTGGAGCTCAAGTTCCTTAAGAACCATTTACATAGCATGGAGTGCTGTATCGATCGATCCAAGTCAAGTGGTTATCACATTCTCCTTACAAGTGCTGTAAGTGTGTTCAAATCATTAGTCCCCATTTCTTCCTTTTTTTCTAAGCGATATGCTTGATATATACTATAGATTAGGACAGACATAAAAATGTGTAATGTTGGGAATAAATTAGCTGTGATAGTGAGCTATTATTGTATTACTTTTCTTCTGGAGACATTAAAGAATATAGCACACATTTTATTCTAAAGCATCAACTTTAAAGTATTTTTAAAATGACAGCCACGGCAAGTTCTAGATATTAACTAAAAAGTTTGTAAGAGTTTGTACAGATTTACAGCTAAAAATGCTAAGATAATAATATACTAAAGTATTATTGTATTGTAGTAATAGTTTTAAGTGCAAGAACTGCTTTATGGTCAACAATTCATCCTTGAATTATCTGATAACATAAAAAATTTATGTCACAAGCAAATGTTTTGAAGAAAGACCTCAAGTCTGGTCTTTATCTGTTCATGTATTCAGGTCTCTTGAGCGCTGCAACCTCTCTTTCTTGACAGTTTTTCAAAATACTCAGTTGGCTAATAGTTCCACAGAGGACTGGAAAGCCCCACATTAAGTAATTTAATTGAAACAAGAAATCTGGTTCAGTTGGTGTAAAATCTTACGCATTTTAACTTTCTCAAGTTCATTCCTTTTCACAATTGATGTTGCATTCAGATTAATTCTAGTGTAAATTCAAGGTTCTTGACTTAAACAAAACAAAACAAAACAAAACAAACGAAACCAGAGACAACCAGAAGATTTAAAATGTGCCAGTGAATATGGAATCACATAAAAAGTAAAGAATAAAAAATTGTCAAAGACTTAAAAACATGAACACCATCTCCAAAATAGTCTCCACATTATGAGCCTATAAAATGCAACATTTTTAAAAATAATGTAAGCATGAATTGGTTCACTCACTTATTCGACATGTTCCATGCACTTCCTTAATGGTTGAGATGCAAAGATGATTAAGACTTCAACTTCAAACGAGGAATGAAATACATAAACAAAAATGGTATTAGCCATGGCAGTAGGAAACCAGTTACTATTTAAGTAATCAATGAAAGAAATTGCGTGGACCTGAACTAAGGGGAAATGAGGGTAGAAAGAGTTTAGATACTTGAGCTTTAACATGTTGAAGTAATTGAGTGACCACAGGGACAAAGAGAAGGGGAAAGTCAGGAAATAAGATGCGAATTTGAGACTTTGGTTGGTACTGTGATGGAGAATGTTAGAGGGACAGTTGGTTGGCAAGGGCAGGAAGAGTCTCTAGAGCATGAGAAAAGAAAGATACCTGGTGGAAGTTAGCATCTGAAGTGATGTTATGTTGTTTCTTATGTGGAGATAATAAGATCATTGAAATCAGAGGAGAAGTAGGCTGAAGATGGAACTCTGAGGACACAATCTTTTCAGGGGAGTAAGGAAAGGCAATAAACTAAGGTGACTGAGGAGAGGAGCAAATAGTCAAGACTATAAGAAGTCAGGTGAGTAAAGACTGAAAAATATTTGCTAGTCATAAAGTGTCAGAAGTGTGAGAAGTGGGAGCAATGTTTACTTGGGGGAAAGTGAACATAATGCACAGTGAATCCTGTTGATCATGTTCTGATATGTTGCAGATAATCTATAAATCATCTAAACTTCCAAGTACTT